CTTCTAGACCCTCCTTATCCTTGGATTCTTTCTTTAGATTCTGTTCTTCTCTCGGCACAAGCAACAGATGTCTTCTCCTTGAACACCTTTGGACCCTCCGTTTCCAGCGGTTCATCTTCGTCGATGTCGAGCCCCTTCCATACGTCCTCTACAACCTTGACCCATTCCGTGGGTTGTCTACCCCTCTTTTTGTTTGCCCACTTCGCCTCCCATACAATTCTCGGCAACCTCTCCTCTCCCATCCCGCACATGCGATACTGCCAGGTCAGCTTCCTCGCGTCTCTTCCCGACCGTAGGGATTGGATCCCCAATTCTGCCCTCACGGCTGCATTACTTGTGCGCCTGGAGCATCCTAGGATGGTTTTCGCTGCTTTCATCTGCGCCGCCTCGAGTTCTTTCACTACCTTCTTATTTCCTTCCCATACTTCTCCGGCGTACTCTAGCGGCGGTACGATTACGCTCTTCAAAACCGTCAATTTGATGCGTGTATCGAGGTGCCGGTTTGCGAGTATTGGGTGCAGCTTCCCTGCTCGTGCTTTGCCCTTTTCCGCTACCTTGGACATGTGTGCATTCCACGAGCAGTCTTTTGCGATCTCTACTCCGAGGTATGTGTACTGGTCCACTACTGCAATCTCCTCGATCCCCCACTTCCATCTATGTTCTACTGGTTCCTCCTTGTTCTCGTTGCATACCATGACGGCACTCTTCTGAACGTTGGCAGACAATCTCCACTTATCAGTAAACTTCTTCGCCGCGTCAATTTGCAGTTGCAGTCCCTCAGGGGTGTCCGACATACCGACAAAATCATCCGCAAACAGCATTCCTGAAACCGACGTTTCCGTGTCCCCTACTTTTACTCCCTTCCGGACTGCCTCTACGACTTCCAACAGATCGTTGATGAACACCTGGAACAATGTTGGGGACAGCGTGCAACCTTGTGGGACCCCCTGCTCAATGTCGAAGAATTTTGACAGTTCTCCGTCTAGCATGACCGCGCTTTTCGTACACTCTTGTCATCTTCTTCAGCACTCTCCCACATTTTCCCCTTGATTCCGTATTTGGACAGTTGTTTCCACAGCCCATTTCTCCATACGGTATCGTATGCCTTTTTCACGTCCAGGAAGAAGCAGTACGTCGGCTTTCCCGCTCTCTTTCTACCTTGGATGATTCTCCCTACCGTGAATGCGTGGTCTACGCACCCCCTCTTCTTTCGGAAGGGGGGGGCGGAGAACAATACAGCAGCACCGACACCAATCAGTACAGTACCCCAAGAGTACCGTTTGCACCAACACCACAGAACTTGACGTGAGCGCAAGCTTAAGGTTTTTGGGGTAGTACATCCCACCCGGTGACGCGCAACGTCTCTTTTTTACTGTGTCCCACGCATGTAGTGTTTCCGGGCCCGCGCAAATGGTGTTGCTCCCGGATCCAAACGGTTCTTGTGTCTTCTGGGCGATGGTACGGTTCTGTCTGATTCAGTTGAATTCAAGCGCACATGTAAAACGAGGCCATTAACGTCTTCGACACACAATCGTTGGGAGATTGTACCCTTGATGACGGGGATCTGCACTGACACCGTTGTTTCTTTGCCGGATCGCTATGATAGCAATCGGTAGGCCGGCCGTAGTCTTTGCTCACCGCGAGCTGCTGCTCTTGTGTCGGGCGTTTGTTTTTTGTCAGACTAGTGTAGCAGCTTGTCTTTGAACCGAGTGGACCCTGAGTTGGAAGGGGAGTGTATAGTGTGTCGCTGTTGGGGTTATGACCCAGGATTCCCTTGATTTCAATGACACCAACCACGTCAAAGCTAGAGGGTAGTGATCGGTTTGCCGATGAGAACCTGCTTTTTCTTTCGGGGGGGGGAAGTACTCGTGTTTCGCATACCTGAGCGCTTACACCACCACGCGTCCTCGAGATGTGATTGAGTGTTTTTTTTTTTCTACCCATAGATGTAGCCACGTGTTTTTCTTCCAGTTTTGCGGTCGCGAGGTTTGGTTTTCCAACGCACTCCGTGCTTGCAAGAACGTCGCGAAACCGTTTGTGGAGCTTCTCGGAAGCATGGGTACCGTTGTATCCCTAGATTGTTGTATCATAAGAGGCATGGCGCGGGATTCTCGTTGGATCTTAGCGGCGTGTGAAGTGGTTTCTCTGGAAGGCAAAAGGCTTTGTTCGAAACCTTTGCGGTAGTGGAAACAATGTCGTGTGCCGCAGAGGGAATCGATTTGTGCTGCTTTCGACTGGACGGGCGGTGATGTATCACGGGGCAGAGATACCTGGTATTGATTACTCCGTCGCGGCTCGAAACAGCAATGTTGGCCATTGTTTGGGATGTCAGATGGTTTCGCCCGCGTCCCTTACGTGATTTGTGGCGCCACGGTAGTAGAGTGTTTTGATTGCAGAATCAGTAGGGGGCTCGGGTTGCAAGCCTGGGGAAACGAGCTATGAACCTGTACATGTAGTCTTCTGTTTACGCGCAGTACGAGTCTCGGTCTCGCTGAACGTGGTGGGACTGGGCTTGATTTTGATTTCCTTGTAACATCTAATAATAGTACTGTTTTTGGGACCCTCCGTTGTATCTTATCTGTACTGGCGGGTTTGTGTGCCTTGCCCACTTCCGAGCTCGAGTTGCTGAACAAACGATCGCGGACTGGGCACGGAAATATGGCACATCGGTCACAGCCCTACCCGCTTCTCTCCAAAGTCCGCTGCCTCTCGTCACCGACTGTGATGTCTGTCGCAGTGGCTCTCTGCTACCCCTCGCTCTACGCGTGCGATGGAGACTAGCCACGAATTCTCACCAGAACTTGAAGCAAAATGTTTCACCACGACGTAACACATCCCGAAGAACCCTTTCTGTGTATTCCCCGTCGACGGGCGTGAAACATTCGCGTCTTCTTATCTACGGTAGGTCGCCCGCATGCCCCGGGTGTTTTCGCCCTGGGTTACATTGGTAAGAAGAGGAGAAAATTCTGGAGAAGACAGTCCAACTTTGCGGGCGGGACGCTCCATCCACTCGCATCCATCAGCGTGGACAGAAAGAGCGTCCCCAGGCAGGTTGATATCCCCGACATTACCTGGTGCGTTCAGTCCGACGTCTGAGAAATTATGCTGGATGTCTGCGATCACGCGCATTGCGTCGTCAGTGGCTGGAACATACCAAAGTGCAAACCACGCGCGGTGAGCTTGTTCATGCAGTAGACAGCTACACAAGACAGCTACGTTCTTTGTCCAAGACGGAACAAACTGAGTGTGTACGGAAGAATTCAGCAACTCATGAAAATTGTTTCTGGAAATACCAGGGTCACGAATAGTAACATCTCGCGCACCCCCCCTTCTAGACACTAAGATTGGGAGAGAGCACGTACGTACGTACATCTCCGTCCGGTGGTCTAGCAGCCGATGAAGCAATCAGAGAGAAAACAGAAAAAGGCCTGTTGTTGCTGTTGTACAAAGCCCCCGGGTGTAACTTTTTCTAATCCCCGCGCCCCCCCACTCACCCCAAAACCGCAAAAAAAAAAAAGTTCAAGTCGCGGCCGGCACCCACGTACAGGAGCATCGATTGTAGTCCGTTCACAAACAAAAATAATCTAAACTTCAAGTTGCGGCCGGCACCTACGTACAGCAGCATTTTTTTTTGTTTCTCTTTGTTTTTCTGTCTCCCATTATTGGACTCTGTCGTCTGCCACTCTGGCCCCTATCCTCCACTGCTACCAGCTAGAAGACTCAACCGGGGTCACATTGGAGGGGGGGGTTGGACCCCAGCATTGTAGTCCCTTCACGAATAATGATCTTCCCCTCTCTTCTTTCTTCCCTAGTCTTGACAGGCAAAGAGAAGAAGAATCTCGTCATCACGTACGTGTACACGCCAAGCAAATTCTCCGAAAATCACAGAGTTTCAGCCCAAACACAAACAACCAGCCGGCAAATATGAATGGTAGATGGATGGAACAACGCCAACACAGCTTGCAAGGCAGAGCCCATGAAGTGCTCCACGATGTACAAGTACAGTAGCAGGAAAACGTGTTTTGGTGCCGTAACATTACATGCAGTATTCGGCGGCTTCGTTTCCGCTCACACACAGTCAGTGCTTTCAGTTCTCGTGCGTTGCTAGGACGCGTGGTCGTGGCAAAACAGGACCAACGCCCCCCCATGGAAAAACACACCAAGATACAACCGGACAGACACACACACACAGATAGACCCCGCCCGGTAACTCCGTCGGAAACTCCGTGCGATCCTTCGCAAGGAGAAAAAAGGTCGACCAATAATATACAAGGGTAGAGCGAACTGCTTCTGTCCCTCCCTGTGGAGAGAGCTCACAACATACGAACGACAAGTAAATAAAACACAACACTACTCGAGCAGGTGCGAGTCGAGCTAGCTCTCAAGCTACCAAACAAAGAGCATGATAATGTCTGGAGAGGGCTAATGTGGTTCTTTCACATCAACTCCCGCCGTACCATCATCCCAATCAGGAACCCTGGTAATGATGTATGTAACCAATTGCTTCTCATACACTTCGTACCGCGTGCCGGGGGTTGCCACCGTTCCAGCCTACATTTTCACTTCGCTACGAATGACTCGAGAAGAACCTGAAAGCTCCGCACGTTCGGTCAACCATCATGCACTCCACCCGGTCAACGCAGTGCTGAGCACAAACACTGAAATGAAGTACACCCGTCCACACGGGTTTAAGGCTTGGAGCTTTGTGTAACGAAGGCTAGTACGGTCATGCAAAATATACTCCTCGCTCTGAGCGCGCCGGCTGGTGCAGTCAGCAAGGTTAATTCGTGCTTGTGTGGTGTGTACTCTGTCTCAACCCCTCGAATTGGGAAGATGCGGTCTAGACTAATGGTGAAAATCACGCAGTGGCATCCCGTGTGCCTGGTCTATCCCCCCCAGAATCCAGTACGAAATGGAGGTACTCCTCCCCCACCAACACGCCTGTCTGTGCCTGCACGCCAATTGTTGTGTATACTTGCCAACATTCGCCGGCTGAAGCTCGCGTACGCCTTTAGACTATGCCAAAACCGCGACGTCACAACCATGCGCCGCCAGCCAGGGATCAACACGCGGAAACAGCAGTGATTAAAGTCTCTTACCGTCAGATGCACGACACGTTCTGTGTATGTACATATGCATACGCGTCAAAACAAATGTGTTAACCCTTGGGGCCGGTCCTAACGGAACAATTGCATCCCGAAATTGCATTTGGTTGTAAGACCGGAAGATCCAAGGAACTCTGCTGTTGATTACGGCGGAGTAGTGATTCCGACCCCCGAATCTTTGTCCACAGGATGGCCCAAAACCAAATCGGGATTTGCAAAAATATTTTGTAGGGGGTGTGATATCTTATGTCACCCGTGTGATAAAGTGCACTCACAGAGCCCCACCAACAGGGGGGGGGTGGGGGTGGGGGGTGTACTCATAGTCGTGCATGCCGTAGTCGTCAGACCATTGACCTCGCATCCCTACAAAGCCGGGACGGAGCACGCCGGGTTCTCACCGGACCAGGNGTATGACTTAATTGCTTTTCTGGTGCTATCACTTCCTGAGACAGTTGTAAGCACTGTGTAACTGCCTCCAGGGTGCTTGACCATTTTAACATCACGTGGTGCGATCATCCCCCTTGCGCGGAGTGAGGGTTCTCCACCCCGCACAACATGATCT